AAAAAAAAAGCAAAAAGCAAGTACATCTATGTATTTTTTCGTTTCAACTTACTGCTCAGTTAACAGAGGAGAAATTTTTTTCTTTCGAGCAAAAACACGGCACAAAGTGTTTGCTAAAGATAATGATAATTATGGTGAAGACGGCAGAGAATAAATGGATATTTGCAAACTTGTTGAACCCATTTTTTCTTTGCAACATATTTGTCTAACACAGTAATTTATAGACATAAATTTAGCTTTTTTAGGCACCAGTTTCCGTTACGGATATGCACCGCGTTTAAAGCTTTAAAAAAAGTTAAAGCGAAAAAACCGACTGAAGCAAATGATCCTCTTTGCAAAGAGGAGTTTCTTCTTGTATCCACTGTTCTTCAAAAAAAAAAAAAAAGCAGACGTCATCTAGTCAAATACCCCTTTTTTTTACTGTGATTCTTTTTGATGAAAATCCTATTGTCTAAAACTGTGATGACCGTCATATCGCCGTTAAAAAAAAAGAAAATGTAGCAGATTTCAGACGATATTCTGAAATGCAGTGAACATTTTGATAAAGAAAAATAGCTGTTTTTTTCGGTAAAAAACTTGTCTTCTTTTTTTGGCAATTACAAATCTTGCAGTATTAATGTAACAAATACTTTATTGTATTCATAATTTATAATTTATAATCATTTCGAATTTAATAATAGTAATATGTAGTTGTATCATTTCTGCATAGACTATGTTTGATAAAACTACTTGGAAAAAATTTTGGAATCTCAACAGCAAAACCGATAGAGGCGCTAAAATATGATTTGCAGATTCTGGTCTTCCAAAACTACCTATTGTCAACACTTGCTATTTGAAGTATAAAAATACATTTGAAGGAAGAAGAATAGTTTATTTAAAGCATTTACACTAAAAGAGTAGGACCAAAGTTGTAAGGTACCGAATCATAATTGCTTTATTTGCTTTCAAATTTCATTTCAACATTTCACTGAACTGAAATTTTATGTCATTTTGCAAAAAAAAAATCTTTTGATTTAAACAACTTTTTAGCTATTTGTTCACTGTCAACAAACACGCAGGAAAGAAATGTTTTTTTTTTTTAGTTTTAATGTTCACTAGAAATAAAGAAAATTTTTATTATACCAACAGAACAGTTCTGAAATCTTCTCAGAAATAGCCTCCTCAGCAACGACAGCATCGCAGATTTTCCAATGTGTCAACGCAACACCAGTCACCCTGTTTTTGACTCAAACAACTGGATCAATATATTCAGTAAAACGTTTCTTAATTATGTAAAATTTTTTTTCACGGGAGTATTAGGTTTCTATGTTTCTCTCTGATGCGGTTCAAAAATTATGCTTTACCACCTTTATATCATTGTAAATCAGCTTAGCACATGCAAGCTCTGTTACATTTGCATGATATTAACATAAGTTAAACGCTTAAAGTTTTGAACAGAAATCTTTTGCAAAGGAAATGCAAATTTTGTTTGAAATTTCTTCAATTTTTTTTTGCTTTCGTTTCTGCTGTGCTGTTATATTCAAAGTTCTCTCAGATTTTCCACAGCAGTTCGGAGAAACAGGTACTTGTGAAGTGTTCTGATAAACAAAAATTTGAGTTTATAAACAAATGTTAAATACAATGTTTTGTTGCCAGAAAATGTTAAAGAAAATCAAATTCAGCATTTTTAGTGAATCTATTAACCTTTGTTTTGTGCAAAAGAGCACCTAGCTTAAAATATAATATTGCCTTTTACTTGCTCTTTTTTATCGGTACTGTTTTATCAAACAAGAAGAATTAATTCATTTAGTCATAAAAGCTATTAAGCTTTCTATTAAAAAATTTTAAATTTTTTAAAATTTAGTTACCTTTATAAGCAATTCGAAGCTTTTTTAAATTAACAGCATTTATCAGTCAGAAATGATTTGGAGAAAAAAAACCAAATTCAGCAATAATGAGTGCTTCATTAGAAGTTAGATATTTTGGTCTTTTCTGTTCGCTGATTAATGCCATCGTGCATTTTAGACCTAAAACAGCAAAAACCTCTACCTAAAGTCAATTTTACAATGTAAATTTTCTAAGTGTAATATCACAGTTAAACTGTGAAGGAACAAACATTTTTTTTTCTTAATGTAAATTTTCTAAGTGTAATATCATAGTTTGACTGTGGAGGAACAAACATTTTTTTGCCTGAGGATTTACTACAAAATGTAGTATAATAATTATCATATAGCTTATTTACATGAAATCCTTTTTCAACTACAAAAATGACTTCACTTTCTCACAAAACTCAGTTCTTTTTTGTCTTAACCAAAAGTAAATAGATGGTCTAAATTACAGTTTAAGAGCTGTAAATACTTCAACTATAGACTCGGCCAATGAGATGTTTTACCAGCAATATTTGCTCCATATATATCTCCTCTTTGACGATAGATCACTGTTCCTAGCGAGTTCTTAATTTTATTAGCAAATTATGTAAAACTCTGCAGTTGATTTTAATTTTTATCATACATTAATTTATTGTTTATTCATATCAATAACTTCTTTTGAAGCATCTTTTTACAAAGCCTCAGTATTTTTATTTCAAAAATCTAACGTTTACAGTAATGCTGAAAGTCTTTTCAGCTGAAAAGTTGTGTCTTAACTGAGTTAATACCTCTTAGTTGGTGTAACAAGATAAGCACTTTTAATGGTCAAAAACCAACTATAACACCTTTTCATTGGCTTTTAGCAGTAGCATTTAGTAAAAGATTGGTTAATAAACGAATACACTTACTTCATCGGTATTTTAAAGATCAAAAAGAAAAAGCAGTGTTAAAATACAGATGATCTTCGGTTCTCTTAGCAAAACTTTTTTCTCGTTTCAAATCACAAAAAAAGTTGTTACGGGTCTTATATGTTGACGTTTGTCAGTCAAAAACTTTAGGTTTCTGCAGTATCTTTTTTTTGTTGTTTTTGTTGCCTTTTGATTTAAATGGTTAAGTAGTTAGAAGGAAATTGTCAAACAGTTGAGGATATGATTAGAAAAATCAAATAAAATCACATAAAAAGTAGCAAATTTGCAGAATGAGAATCTTTTGCAACGGTACCAAAACAAAAATTTGTAGCCAGTTTATTTGCTTTTTACCACTAATCTGTATATACATGCAGCAGTATGTTAAAAATCTAAATTTAACAAAGTGCTGATAACTAGATGCTAAGATTACTTCAACAGTTAGAAAGCATCTAGTGCATTTTAAACTTTTAATTAGCTTATTTACTGAAACTTAATTATAGGTCAAGTATTTTTCTAAACACAGAAATAGAAAAAAAAATACTTTTTTTGCTCGGGAAAAAGTTGCTTTTTTGTTGCTAATAGTAGTGATAAGCATAGCATTAACTACATCATCAATAATAAGAAGAAGGATAAGACAAATGCTAGTAGGAAAGAAATAAAGACTAGCGCCTAGCAAGTAGCTCTAATGTAAACAATGTTGTCGTTGCCCGGGTGTCTGAAATAAGCTAGAGCAATATTCTGAAAGTCAACAAATACTCTTGTTATGCTTTTTTTTCTTATATTTGTACCATCAATTCCATCATCAACAGCAACAGTACTCTATAGTTTTTAGTTGAATGTATCAACTGATAATTGCTGCTAACTCGTTAATCACTCAACAAAAAACTAAATTTCAGTTACTTCTTTAAATGACACCAAATGGAAGCGAATAAAGAGAATGTTCTTTCATAAATCTCGTGAGATATCAGACTAATTTCTGAGACTAGTTACTGTCGACGATGCCAAAAGCAAGGTTACAGATAAGAAAAAAAAAACCAAATAATAACGCCTGACCTTTAGTTTTTGTGTCACATAAGCATACAGCTTTCCTCTTCATTTTTAAATACTTAGTTTTATTCTATCTCAACAGTAAAGGTGAGTTTATTTA